CCGTGACGTATTCGATATGCCAAACACAGTAACAACAACAAAGTCTCCAATGGAGACGTTACTGGGCCCGCTCGAGCAAATCGATGATCAACAGGAGGGCCTTTACTTTACTTTACTTACTTAATTGAATCACTGTGAGATAGTTACAAAGCTGTCACATTTGAGTTTTGGTCATATAATGACCGAGAAGAGTCTTCTTCAAGTATGTCCTGGAGCCTGCTGTTGGGTATGAATGCCTGTTTGGGAGGAAGAAGGCAGTGACAAATGTCTGAGGGCAGGCTCCATTAGGAGCCTTAAGGAGCTACCTATCTCCTCAGCCAAACAGCTTTATGACTGTGGCATGAGTGTGGTTTGCATGGGGTCATTAAATAAACACAGTGCCAGTTTTGCATATTTCCTCAGTGATATTTATTATATTTCATCAGGGAACTGGAAGAACTGTGTTTATTTAAATCAGCAGAATCCACATGTACCCTAAGCTTGGTGCAGTGTTAGTACACTGCCCGCCCGCAGCCTGAGTACTGTCTGGGTTCTGGGTGGGCTTTATTCTGACTGTGTGCTCTCCAGCGGAACAGCAGCTGCAGGCCTCTTATTTTTGTAACGTGCAGCAGGGGGAACTGAAATAGCATCTGCCGACTTTTTAAACCTGCAGATTTTTTGTTGCTCATTTTTGAAAAGGGAAGCCCTTATGGTGGCCAAATTCATGGGTTTTTCTGTAAATGAAAATTTTCTTTCTTTTTTTTTTTCTTTTCCCTAAACCTAATTGGTGACGTCCAGGGGTATGAAAAGGCAATATGGTTGAACTCAGCCTGAAAAAGGAGATTACCAACCAGGGAAAAAGGCTCCTGATTATCTGGCAAGATTGTTCTCAGTGATGGGTGCTTGGATGCCTACAGGAGAGATTTTTCAGGGCCTTCAAATCACAGGAAAAATGGTGAGAAACCTCTAGGTTTTGAGGATGTGCTACCTGCAGTTTAATCAGAGCTTGTAAAATCTCTGGCCGACTTTCCTTTGGCAGCTTATCTTTTCTTCTTTGCAAGTGTATTGTTATTTCAATCTCCTGTTTTATTTTCTTTTGGTTATTCTTTTAATGATCATTGTCATTTAAAATTTTTTTGGAATAATCGAAAATTTTTTCTTTTGCCTTTTCTTCTTTTGTGGTTTTAAAGCTCAGTACAGGGATCTCGATGTTCCACAGCAAAGCAGTGATTAGTTGACAAACTTCTCCTGCCTTTTTCCAGTCGGTACTTATGGGCTCACTCCTCTGTGAATGGGAGGAAGGAACACGGACTTTACTGTGAAGTTAGAAACGTTTGCTGCAGCCTCACATAGACTAGAGACAGGTGCCAATGCAAACTCTCTTGGCCATTGGGCTTCTTCCTGTGGCATTAGTTGGTGCTGCTGTATACTCAGATGTGCCTGCATGCTTGCCTACTCTCTTGGGATCAGTTCCAGATTCCTTGGCAGCAGAGTGGGCACTCTGAAGATCGCAGGGATCTTCAAGAGCCTGGCAACCACAGTGGGAAGAAGTGGGACTTAGGAACTGCTCTCCATATGGCTATACTGCCAGGACACACCTATTGACTTTGGTGTTCCAAGGAAGTCCAGACACCAGACGGGGCTACCTCCTGCTCTAATATCTTCCTCAAGGCTCTTTGTTTATTGATTCAGAAATTACAGGAGGCAGGAGGCCCTTAAGATCCTGCAGATTCCCTACTGATCTCTTTGCAGTCCTATGACCAGGTGTTCTGCTTCCTGGGAGAGAGTGACATTGTGAGGCTTCTAGATCTTCCCCAGAAGTGTTCATGCAAATAAGAGGAGGTTAACCATAGACCTATCCTTGATCTGGTCAGAGATGTGTGCATATTGAGCCTTTATTGTTACTCCTCCCCCCCCACACACACACACCTGGATTTGAAATTTGAACACAGTACCCAGACCCATCCCCCAATAGCCTATCTGAGTTTCTCCAGAGGGCATATGCCTCAGGCTGCAATTACTGCTGGAAACCCAGTTGGAGATTACTACACATTGGATGAGGGTCTTTGGTCAGCCTGAGAGTGAGGTGCCCCTGTTCTCTGCCTTGTCAAGCACAGCTGGGGTCTGTGGTCAGCACTGAGCTGTCACCTGTAATAAGAGGAAGTTACAAATGGGCCTTGTGCAGGACTGAGCTAGCCCGGAGGAAGGTTAGAGGGATTGAAAACATGTCACTGAGAATTTATCAGAGGAATGGATTATGATTCAAACTTCGCAGGGACTTGGCATGTGTCTGTAGAGACTAGAAAGGGATTCCACAGTTAATCCTAGTGATAATCTGAGTTCATTCATTCAAACCTTACCCAGTGCAAGTTATGTTTTTAGCATTAACAAGTAATTAATGTGTTACTCTATGAGGTGCAAACCATCAGGATCCTTGCTGATGATAAGGCTGTAAATGGGCTCTGGCATGTGAGTTTATGAAGAGGCAAGTACTAGGGAAGAGGTGCTTGTTACTCTGAGGCTGACTCAGTAGGAGAAAGGAAGAGCTTTCTGACACTCTGGTTCTCCTGAGGAAGAAATGGGTAGAAGGAGGGGAAAGTAAACAGATGTGGTGAACATCTGCCAAGGTCCCAACATGGGTTGGGGAATTTTCCATGAGTTATTTTGCTTAATCATTACAATAACTGAATGAAACTGGAATAACTATCCTTTTACTCGTGAAGAACTTGAGGGCCACATCTGTTGAAAAAAATCTTCTAAGACCTGTGCTCTAGTTTTAAGTGGCAGCCAGGTATTTGTGGCTCTGAATTTTATGTCCATGGTGCTTAGAATAAATGTGGCAGTGCCCAGGTGGTCTCTGAGCACAGGTACTGGCTGGCTCTCTCTGTGAGATACCCTTGAAGCAGCCTGAATCTCACCAGTTCTGATTGTTCAGTTCTTGTCTCCCAATAGATTGCAAGACACCATTGCAAGGGACCATATCTATCTTATTTAGCCCTGTTCCTTCTACCCTGAGATATTTGAGAGGCCGAGTAAATAGTGCTAGAGAGCCCCTGGTATGATAAGGGAAGTAATAAAGAAGAAAATTCACCTCAAATTTGGATGTAATAGGGAGATGCTTGTGTTCGAGCTGAGATTAATTCATAGAGGTTTAAATCCCAGTGTATATGCACAGTTACCAGATAAATTTGAAAAAAATTTAAAAAATAAACAAAGATTCCCAGGTCTACTCCAGCCCTCAGGAGAATAAGACTGTCAGGAAGCAGGGTTTTTGTGTCTTGTGCATCCTTCTCTGCTGGACTCTGCTACCCAGACAGGTTAGGAAACTGGATGCAAAATAGTGTTTGTCTGGTTTTAGGGTTTTTTGGGGGGTTGGGGGGGCATACACACCTGTGTTCAGTGTTTACTTCTGACTCTGTGTTTAGGGATCACTCCTGGTGGGCCTCAGGGTCTTATATGGGGTGCCAGGGAATTAATCTGGGTTGACTGCATGCATGGCAAGCCCTCTACCTGCTACACCATTGCTCCAGTCCTGCAAAGCAATGCAGACTGTGGTGCTGGGTCTCTAACTATGCAGCAGTTGTTCCTGGGGTTCATGGCCACTGCTCCCCTCTTCTTCTGGCTCTCTCATACCAGGCTGCGTGTGTGCCTATAGTGTGGATGGAGGTCTGGTTCAGAGTCAGGCCTTGAACCTTATCAGCCAGGTATTTACTGAGCAAAGTCCAACTGAGGCACCCTATGTATGCATCCGGGTTTAATAGATATTCAGACTTCCGGGTTTTTGATTCTGAGCCCAAGTTCCCTTATCGATGATGATAATGGACTCCCTGTGTGAGTCTGGTAAGCCTGTGAATCTCATTACTCTTGACTGAGCTGCTCCAAAAGTACCAGGGCCTAGACCATGGATGCTTGTGTGGCTGTCTGCTCTGAGCAGCCATGGCTGCCTTAGGCTTCCTCTCTTCAGTTAGGAAGATCCTGGGGTCCGTATTAGTGCTTTGGCTGTATTCCTGGCCTGGAAAACTCTCAGCACTTAGAATGGATACCCTAACCCCAACGCATTGGAACTCATCACACAGGTTTCCCATGACCTGGGAGCCATAGAGAACTAGAGAATTGCTCACTTCTGCCCACTCTCAAGGGCCAGGAGAGGTTGTAGAAAAAGAAAACATGGACACCAAGTTTTCAACAAGCATCTAACCAAGTCATCAACTAATAACATCCCAAGCTTGTTAAGGACACAACACTCAGAACAAGCATGAAACGAGGAACAAGACCTCACCCGGAGAAGCTGGGGTTCTGGTCAAGGGCATAAGAAGTTTATACTGGAAAGGCTAACTGATTGTTCAATGGCAGAACATGGGCTTATCCGTGCTGACTGTGATATTTCACTAAGCTCTTTCTGTTTCGGGGATTCCAGGCTCAATGGAATCCCGTGCTCGGGGGCAAGGTGGGAGGCATGTTCCTGTAGTCTCTGAGTCGCTGCTCTCCTGCCATCCTCCCTGCCCTCTGTGATGAATTCTTCCCAGATCCAGAAGTGTTTGAGGGATTGTAGGAGAAAGCAGATTCTGTGAGTCTGAATCTCAAACTCTCAGCAGTCTTGGGTCTGGAAGAATTAAGAGACAGGGAAGAAGGAGAGACAATTCTGACCAAGGGCAACTTCCAGTGAAGATGAGGGGCTGAGTTGAGCAAGGAATAATTGGAGAAATCTAGATAGCCATCTTGGGCAGACATAGGGTCATGCCGTGATCCGTGTGCAAAGCAGTTGAAAGAATGGCTTGAGAACACCCTGTGGAGGAATTTTCAGTCTTGGACTCAAGAGGGATGACCCATTCATCTGTGCTGATGGGAGTCCTAGAAGGTTAGGAGGAATGACAATACTGGGAGAATATTCTAGAAGTCTCATGTGACCGTCTGCTTTCAGGTATGACAGGAGAGCAGGCTGATGCTTGAGAAGAGCTTTCACATTGAGTACGGGGCTTGTCTGAGATGCTAGATGAGCTCAAAGATGTTGCTTTTTACAGCCTCGGCTCCAGAACAGGCCCCGGCCCCACCCCGGCCCTACCAGGGCGTCCGTGTGAAGGAGCCAGTGAAGGAATTGCTGAGGAGGAAGCGCGGCCACGCCAACAGTGGGGCGCCAGTCACACCGACCGCGGTGAGGGGCTTGCTATGGCCAGGGTGTGTGATGGGCTGTGTCAGAAGGGGTTGGTTGAAAGTGTCCTCCTTTGCTTTGGGAGGTATTCTTGGGGGCATGGAGGGGGCCATGATGTCCTGGGAGGGTCTGCTGGAGAAAGGACCTGGGTGGGGATGAGTCAGTGGTCCCTGGAAGTGGGCTCTGGGCTCTGGGTCTGATCCATGGAACAAAGCAATCACGTGGGCCTAGGAACTATCAAACTCCTGGTATTGGGGGCTCCTCGCTGGGAAGAGGAAGAGGCCAATCTCCTAAGTACATAGACTCTGTGAGAAATGGAGTAAATGGAAACAAAAATCCCTTGAAAGTGCAGGTGGTTATGATCCTCAGAGCACTGCCAGGGATGATTCCTGAGTGGAGAGTCAACAGGAATCCCTAAGCACCTCCAACTGTAGCCCTCAAACTCTGATCAATCAATCAATAAATCTGCCCTCACACTGAGCAGAAAGGATCCTTGCCGGTCCCTCTGTTCCCACGGGCCCCTGGTTCTCACCTGGCCTTCTGTCTGTCTTGATCTGGACCTTAATCCTAATGTCTTTCATGTGGGGAAACCAGCCACAAGGGATTAGAGCTCAATTTAGTGTCCACATATATATATATATATATATATATATATATATACACACACACACATACATACATACATATATATACACACATACATATATATATATGTATATATATATATATATATATATCCACATTGTGAAGTACTGGGACCGATAAGTAAAATGTGTGAGTGTATGTGTGTGTGTGTATGTGTGTGAGTGTGTGTGTGTGATTGTGCGTGTGTGTGAGGGTGTGTATATGTGTGTGAGTGCATGAGTGTGTGTGTGTATGTGTTTGTGAGTGCATGAGTGTGTATGAGTATGCGTGTGTGAGTGCGGGTGTGTGTATGTGTGTGTGTGCGTGTGTGTGAGCGTGTGTGTATGTGTGTGAGTGCATGAGTGTGTGTGAGTGTGTGTGTGTATGTGTGTGTATATGAAAAAAATGCAGGTGGTGATGGTTGGGGTGGGGTGTTTTTTTCTGAGAGACATCACCCCAGTGCTCTGGCCTGGGCTGGGTGGAACTGGCTGAAAACTGATTCGGATTTTCTCCTCTCCTCCAGCTCGTGCTGCCTCATCAGCCCTTGGCAACCTATACCACAGTGGGTAAGATCCCCAAGGTCCCCCAAGGTCTGCTTGTACTCTTACGCCCCCTGGTCTCTCTTATCATGCCCTGCATTGTTCAGGGTAGGAAATTTCTCTTGCCTCTCCAGCCTCCCATCTGGTGGCCCATGCAGCTTGGTCATTTCCTTCTTCCCACAGGTCCTTCCTGCCTTGACATGGAGGTCTCTGCTTCCACTATGACAGAGGAAGGAGCCCTGTGTGCTGGCTGGCTCTCCCAGCCTGCCCCGGCCACCCTCCAGCCCTTGGCTCCATGGACACCCTACACCGAGTACGTGTCTCATGACGCAGTCAGCTGCCCTTACTCCACTGACATGTATGTTCAGCCCATGTGCCCGAGCTACACAGTGGTGGGACCCTCGTCTGTGCTGACCTATGCCTCCCAGCCACTCATCACTAATGTCACGGTATGTCACATTGAGGCTGAGCTGCATCCACCTTGGCCATAATAGCTTGTTAGAACTTGGCTTGATTTCCTGAACTCTGACCTTTAGTATTGAGTCTCAAGATGATTTGTTTCTCCAAACCTCAAACCTTCCCTGTCCTATGAGGAATCTGCTTTTACTCTATTCTTACTCATTTTCCTTAATTTTTTTTTGCTTTTTGGGTTATACCCAAAGATGCTCAGGTGTTACTCCTGGCTCCGCACTTATGAATTACTCCCGATGGTACAAGGGGGACCATATGGAATGCTGGTGATCAAACCCAGATTTGCCGCATGCAAGGCAAATTATACACACTGTACACACTGTACTATCACTCCAGCCCCTCTGCTTATACTCTTACGCCCCCTGGTCTCTCTTATCATGCCCTGCACTGTTCAGGGTTGGAAATTTCTCTTGCCTCTCTGAACTAATTTTTTCCTATGGTTTCAAAGCAGTGAGTCTCAGTTACTAGTTTACAATGTTGATGGATAGTGCCAGGTGAGCTCTGTGTGGGCTCAGATGATTGAGAAATAACTGGTCTTTTAGCAGTAGGATTCACCACTGCTTGAGATTTCTAGACTCAGCCACAGAGAACCTTCTTCCAGAAAGCTGTGCTTTTGATAGAGTAAGACCCAGAGGTAATTTGGGGTGGTTCCACCTCTAGCATCCAATTGCCTGGATTCGAAGCTCTGATCCTTTACGGTGAACTTGGGTTACATAGTGACTTAATTTTTCAGAGCTTCAGTGATCTCCTCTGTGAATTTGGAATACTCTGAAGAAAGCTGATGCCAGGGTCAAATGGGATGGCCATGTAGAGAACTTAGCATATTTCCTGACATGCAAAACACACCATCCATGCCAGTTAGTTGTGATTATCTCTAGTCAGTGGATAAGATCAACCAAGAGCTTCCTTCAAACCTCAGATGGTAAAGGAAAGGCCTGATTCCCCCCTCCTGTCCCCTCCCACACCCCGCTCTGGGAAAGGAGAGACATAGTTTTCCTTATTTACTTATGGTGCCAGAGATTGGACTCAGGACATCACACATGCCAGACGTGCACTTCCCACTGAGGCACATTCCCCGTCCCAACAGACAGTTACCTGAATGGTGCCTCTTCCAACACGCGAATGGCAGCCCCCAGCATTCAGAGCCATGAATGCCGATGGCTCTATGCGTGTGTGTAACTCTAGTTCTGGAAAAACTGGGAGGTTGATCATGGCCTCAGGAGGAGTTATCGAGCCTGCTCTTATTCCAGGTCCATTTCCGTCTGGCACCCTGGTGCACTCAGGCCTTCAAGCATTTTCTGACAATTGGGCGCCTACAATGGGACCTAGAGAGAGAGGGACAGGAATGTGTTAATTCAGCGCCTTTCCCAAGCAACTCACTTCCATATCAGGGGGCCTAGGGTGGGGAAGGGGTGCTGGGCATAATGGTTCCCAAGAAGTCCTCATATTGTTTACTCTTGTGGCATCTCCACCTTCTTCTTTGAAAGATTCTGTGTATCAAACAAAGTGTGTTGATTAGTACATGATTTATTTGTTTTGCCACTTTGTAAGATAACTCTTCAAAGCCACTTAGCGCTACCAACTGGCACTCCTGACCAGCGGATGGAAGTAGAGTCCCCTGGGATAGGGGGACTATATGAAGGAAGACAACAAGACAGATTCCCATGAAGACATGGGTGGGTTTCTCAGCCCCTCAAGCTGCTAACACTTGTCCTTTGTGTACCCTTCATAGGCTAGAAGCACCGCCACACCCACCATGGGGCCCCCCCTGGAGAACTCAGAGCACCAGGCCCCCCTCACCTATTTCCCGTGGCCTCAACCCCTGTCCACACTGCCCACGTCCACCCTGCAGTACCAGCCTCCAGCTCCGACCCTGTCCGGGCCCCAGTTTGTCCAGCTCCCTATCTCGGTTCCTGAGCCGGCCCTTCAGGACATGGAAGACCCTCGAAGAGCCGTCAACTCCCTGACCATCGACAAGCTACTTCTAGCTGAGGAGGATAGTGATGCCTACACGCTCGGCCATTCTCTCTCTGTGGATGGTTTTTAGAGGCCCAGCCTCTGGTGCTGGGTCTGAAATAGCCTGGGACTGAGCTTCAGAGTTTTGTCTGTCTGTCTGGGGCAGCTGTCGCATGAGGACACTTTCTACTCCAGACTAGACTAGACAATCTCCCTCCTCTCTCCCTCCCCCTCCTCTCCTCCCCCCAACCCTCCCCTTCCCAACTCTCCCCTCTCCTCCCTTCCCTTCCATTTCCTCACCTCCTTCCCCTCCCTTCCTTCCCCTCCTTCTCCACCTTTCCCTCACTTTCCCCTTCCCTTCTCTCTCCGCCTTCCCTTCCCTCCCCTCCCCTCCCCTCCCTATCCCTTCCCTTTCCTCACCTTCATGCTTTCCCTTACCTTCTCTTCCCTCATCTCCTTTCCCTCCCTTCCCTCACCTCCTTACCCTCCTTTCCTTCACATCTTTTCCTCCCCTATCCCAACCCCTTCCCTTCCCAACCCCTTCCCTTCCCTTCCCTTCCCTTCCCTTCCCTTCCCTTCCCTTCCCTTCCCTTCCCTTCCCTTCCCTTCCCCATCCCCCCTTCCCTTCCCCATTCCCCCTTCCCTTCCCTTCCCTTCCCTTCCCTTCCCTTCCCTTCCCTTCCCTTCCCTTCCCTTCCCCATTCCCCCTTCCCTTCCCCATTCCCCCTTCCCTTCCCTTCCCTTCCCTTCCCTTCCCTTCCCTTCCCTTCCCTTCCCTTCCCTTCCCTTCCCTTCCCTTCCCTTCCCTATGCCTCCCTCCTTCCCTCCTACTCTTTTATTCCCTCTCTCCCACCCTCTTTCCTCTCCTTTTTCATTCCCTAATTTCCTCACACCCACTATTTTCTTCTCCCTTTATCATTACATTTCCTGTTTCTTTTGGGGAAGGAACTAGAGGAATTTTGGAGATTGTTTCCTAGCCAAGAGATTGCCAAATCTATGGCTCCGGTGCTTTCACTGTTTTCACATTTTGTTCCTAGAGAAGGTCCTTTTTTCCCAGAATTGCTGCTTCCTCAGAGCGGCCGCTCCACTGAGTCATGGGCCAATGCCCTGCCTCTCGTTTCGAGAGATACAGGGTGCTCTGAGGAACACTGGCCCTGCCAGGACTCCAAGAGTCAAGGCAGTGCTTGAGCTGACAGTTTCTACAGTTGCTCCTTTGTTTGCTCTTCTCAGCCCTGGGCAGATTTAACATGCTGGCAGTGCAGTCCCAAGGTCTGGGCTCAGCGAGGTGGGAAGAGGGGCTGAGAAAGAGCGCTAAAGGCAGGAGAGGTTCGAGCTTGTGAGCTTGTGTGTGCCATTGTGGGAGCCCGGAGGAGTGGCTGTCTCCAGCTTCTTGGTGTTTAAGGAGAACCATGGAAGAAAGCCATTGCTTCCAGTGCTGGTTTGACACCGTCTTGCAGGACCTTTCAAGCACAGATCTTGCCTATGAAAGGTCCGGGGATGTGTCTGGATGCTTCTCCTTGGCCCACCCTTTCTGGGGTCCTGGTGTCAGCTGAGGCCCACAGAAGCCCCCTAGTGACCAATTTGCTGCTGCCACCAGGGCTGCTTTTCTGTCCTAAGCACCTCCAGGCATCACCATAATGTGACAAGGCCTCCTCCCCACGCTGGGCTGGGCACCAGGGCACTTAGCTCCTAGAATCTCAGCTTGAGACTCATTAAGCTTCATTTCCATTTTCTTTTCTTATCTATCTTCCTTCCTTCCTTCCTTCCTTCCTTCCTTCCTTCCTTCCTTCCTTCCTTTTCTTCCTTTCTTTTTGCAAGAGGAACATCTGCTCTGCAGGGCTGATCTATCTTCCTTCCTTCCTTCCTTCCTTCCTTCCTTCCTTCCTTCCTTCCTTCCTTCCTTCCTTCCTTCCTTCCTTTTCTTCCTTTCTTTTTGCAAGAGGAACATCTGCTCTGCTGGGCTGGCTGTGGGCTGTGAGCAGAATTGTTCCCACCCCCACCCCCCAGTGGGGTGCTTATCTCCTGAGAGAGATTAAGTGTTTGGGGAGCTGCCCTGTTTGTCTGCTACTGGCACCAATATCACGCTTCAGCAGATGCATTAGTTGATGGACTCTATGTAGCAGTAAATGTAATTTTCTTGTACATGATAGTTTCTTTGATTTTTGTGGGTTTTTTTTTTTGCCATTTTAAATGAAAACTCTGGAGAAAGTTTTCTTTGGGGGATAATTTTTTTCTGCTTTGGATTTCTTTTGACGCAAATTTCTCAGTGTCTGCATAAATTCTCAATATAAATATCCTAAATTCTTTTAATTTGAACTCAAGCTCTAGATTTCAAGGCTTTTAGGAAAGCATTTTCGCTAACACACTTCCATCTTTTGTTGCTAGTGACAGGGAATAGGTGAGGGGGCTGGGGTACTTGAGCCTGAATGAGGAGAAGCCCTGGGTTCCTATTTCAAAAAACACTATGTGAGACTTTCCAGCTTACTGTCTGAGGATTTGAGAGGACGCAAGGACAATCTCCACAAGGTAGTTTAAGTTGGCACAAACTAGCAACTAACAAACAAGTGAAGTACATGATGTATTCGCTAAGATGTAAAGGGTGTCTGTTTTCCTTCTTGAGGTACAGTGTCTTGATTGCAGTAGCCCGTTGATTTCTTCTTGTTGTTTTGTTTTGTTTTCTTTTTCTGTTAAGATGAAAACATTTTCAATAAAGATGTACTGAGACCTTTCTGTGTAGAACTATTTGATTTCTTATCAAAGTTATTCCCTTTGCTCGTAGCCCTGTGCCAGGAAGGACTTCTAAGGATTTAACATCAGGAGTTGTTCTGCTGCTCGGGGATGCTCTAGGTAGCCTCCCTCTGTGGATGGAGTCTGGGTCTCTCAAGCAGAATGTGTGAAGCTACTCGTCTTATAGCCAGGAAAATAGCTGAGGGGTGGAGGAAGTTTTTTTGTTTTTGTTTTTGTTTTCTTTTTTGGTCACACCCGGTGATGCTCCTCAGGGGTTATTCCTGGCTTTACACTCAGGAATTACTCCTGGCGGTGCTCAGGGGACCATATGGGATGCTGGGAATAGAATCCGGGTCTGCCCCGTGCAAGGCAAATGCCCTACCCGCTCTACTGTCATTCCAGCCCCTCTGAAGGAAGCCTTTTTAACCCTTTTGCTTTTTCTTTTTTGTTCACTTGATCACTTGACATCCCATTACTCATCGATTTGCTTGAGTGGGCTCCAGTAATGTCTCCATCCATCCCTGTCTCATGCTAGTGTAGCCCAATGGCGTTTGCTCACTCCAGGAACATGAAGATCCTCAAAACGTTCATTCAGGGTCTTGACAAAGAAGTCTGGCCATCTTGTAGGTGGCGGCCACGTGGTCTTTTGACGTCCCATGGAATCCAGTCAGTAACAGCTCTAGTCCAACAGGCGTCTCCAAATTGCATTCCGTGTCCAGCCCATCTGATTTTTGACGCCTTGGTAAACGAGACAGCGTCCCTGATTCTCTATCGCTGACGGAGGTTCAGAACTCCGGATTCCTTCTCTCACTTGCGTGAAGCATGATACTGCAAGCATAGCTCTTTCGATTCCTCTTTGGGAGACTCGAATAGAGTTCTCATCCCGTTTTCATAGGGACCAGGACTCTGAGGCTTATGTTAATGCAGGAAGTATGGTGGAGTCAAAGAGATGTGCCTGGAGCTGGAGGTTCTTTGTCCTCTTAACAACTTCTTCGATGCTCTTGAAGGCGTTCCACGCTGCTCTCTTCCTCCTGTGCAACTCAGGTACCAGGTTGTTCATCATGTTGAGTTCTTGACCTAGGTACACATAACTGCTGCATTCAGAGACATCGTTCCTTTGGGAGTGAATGGAATATCAGGAATGCGTCTGTTTCTCATGCACATTGTCTTCGTGAGATTCAGCTGAACTCTGACCTTTACACACTCATGATATGCCAAAAAAAAAAAAAGTAAAAACAATGGGCCTCATTCCCCTAATTGTTTATTTGCTACATGAGTAATTTCTTATGCTGTGAGTTCGGGCATGATTAAACCACTGCTCACGTCCATTGCAAGCTCTTCAAGGCCCTCAAAAAGACACAGGGGCTTGTGAGCTGATGCAGAGTCCTCTGCCCAGTGGAATCCAGCTCATCATGTCAGAGTTCACAATGGAATAAATGGAAACTTAAGAGGTCAGTCAGTCCCTTCTAACTCCAGTGTTTGGAAAGACTAACTCTTTGGAGGCTGGTTTTCTCTTTTCTGGTGATTTTCTGAGTTAAGAGTCCTTGAGTTCACTGTAACTACAATTTTTTAATCTTTATAGAAAATAAAACATTTTTGATGGCCTACCGTATTCTGTCACATGTCTTAATTTCCAGGCTCTTGAGTGTGAGCTTACTTTAATTGTTACCACCAATGTTTTTTCCCCTTATTCTCTTTATAGTAAAAGACATGGCTAAAAAAAATTTGAGAAAATTTACCCTCAAACTTTATTAAAGTTCAGCTGAAAGGGAAGATAGTTTTTTTAAACGTATTTTGTGTTAACCACAGTTTTTTGTTATTGAAGTCTGAACTTGATTTATTGAGAGGGTGACCTGCTCAATGTAACGTGGTGTTGGTGTGCAAGATGTCGATCCATGGCAGTGTCCATGTTCAGAATGAAATATGAAGAATGGAGAAGATAGTATAAGGTAAGAGGAAGAAGGTGGAAATGAACAAAATAATAAAATCATCAACCAAGTGACTCAAGTTTGCCAAATATTAGTTTTGTGCCTATCTCTCAGTAGAAGCTTAATGTGGATTTACTGAAATCATAAATCATAGATAATTGTTTTGTATGAGCCTTGTTCTTTTGTGGGTCAAATATGAGGCACCTAACAACTTTTCTTTGAATTTCACTCATTTGGAAGATTCTGTTACATTCCATTTAGGAAATACTGAGAGAGATAGTTGCAAGTGATAAGAATGACATCTACTTTAGTGGACTTAGATAATACTTCTCATATGATTTTTACTGAATTTTTGAAGAAATTTTTGTAATTTGGTAAAAATAATTGAATTTTTGGTCAGGGCCCTTAACATTAGATTTTCCCCCCTCAAATACAA